CATTTTGAACATACTTATTCTTACAAAGAAAATACTTCGTAATTTTTCTAAAACGACATACGGACACTCGGCGAACGGACAGACGCCGACGCACCGACGAACAAACCTTGCTGTCTGAAAGGCTTGGGCTGCGCTCGGCTGCACAAACACCCCATCCGACCTGTCTGCCTCGACCTTGGCAAAGGGGTGGCTGGGGTTGCGCGCGTGTCACGCCGTGTGCCGATTCTCGCCAAAAACATTGGCTCGCGACAAAGCTGCCCGGCCGCGCGTGTCCCACTTCGGTTCTCCCATATTTGTTCCCCGCCGTGGATTTATTTTCATTATGGGAAACGAGTGGCGAGTCCGAGAGGGGTGATGTTCCTACGGAGAAATTCGGGTTGAGCGTCCGGAGAAGACTTCGGCAGTAGAAACAATGAAACAGATTTCCAGACTTGAGTGTCCGTGGTGTCCCTGAGGTGTTTATAATCGTCACGTTTACGGTTTGTCCTAAGCCTTTTTCTGGGAGTTTCTTTAATCACGAAGTATAGTGAATGACATTTCCATCACTTTCAAATCATGACCATTGCATCACTTTCAAATCATGACATTGAATCATTCCTGAATCATGACAATTGCATCCCAAATTCATGACATTTTTATCAAAGCTTTTTCCATTTGTTGCAAAGAGAATCACAGCTATATCAACTGGTTTGATAAAGCTCTTGGAAGAAAAACTAACCTTAAAATGCCATCAAGTATGACAGTAAAATTTTTCAGTGAAGAGGGAGTGGGACCAGGTGGGGCCAGGGTATATAAAAAGGAAGGCAGCGAACCCCTTTCTAGCTCTAGAAGGTCATCTACAATGCTGAAAAAGAACTGTTGTTTTGTTTGCTCTTCTGGGCCCTATCTGCCGACCGCGTGCTTTAGGGCCGGGCCCCGCCTCGGAGGCCATGAGTCAGGTGGGCTGCTGCAGTCTGCGGAGGCGAGCCACACTCGGTGCCGCACAGCGGCGGATCCGGAGCAGAATAGAGAGGGAGGTGGCGCCCTAAAGGTGGCAAACGTGGTAAAGCGGCACGCAAAGTGGAACTTTTTGCCTACCTTTCAGGAGGGGCTGGGTTCAGGTGTCTCTCTCACACAAACACACGCTATCAACCCCCCCCCCCCCACACACACACACACACACACGCCTTCACACATCTACACACTTAAAGAGACATACGCGCACGCACAGGATCCGCGCTTGGCGGCGGCTGAGGCCGCGCGCGAAGGACAGAACGGAAACGCACGGTGGATTTCTTGTCGGATTGAGTCCTCCCGGCGGTCCACACTTCGCGCTGTAACACGACTCAAGCCGGCCGGCCCGTTTCCGAGGAGGCGGCGGCAAGGTGGCGGCCGGTGGCGTAGCCGCGGTGAAACTGGAGCCGGAACGAGTATTAATCTAATCTGTTTGGTTTCACTCCTATGCGCCAACAAGGTGGCCGGGCCCGAGGCCTGGCCGGAGCTCGGGTGACACGGTGGCCGGACTGTGCCCGGGGCAGCAATGCCACAGCAGGGCAAGCGTATCGCGAGGATTGTACTACGTGCCTTCCGAGAAGCGGGCCCCCGGGCCTCCGGGCCGCCACACGATCGCGTGGAGAACCGGATGGAAAAGTCGGCTAATTTGTGAAACTGTTGGGCCAGTGGGGCCGCTCGGGAGACACCACGAAAAACTGAAAGCAGCTTCATCGGCCGATTTGAAGGCGAACGAGGTGATCCACACGGTTCTGTAAAGTGACATCCAGTTTGTCATTCTGTGAAAAGTTTGTTTGTCACTTGATGACAAGTCAAAGGTTAACGCTCCTGACAAAATAACATTGTACCAGTTTAGGACCTAGTTATTACGCGCAAAGCTTTGATCAATTTGTGATAAAAATTATATATTTGAAAGTGATGAAATGGTCGTTTACCGATTTGTCTTGCAGTGATAGTAAATTTTTGGAGTGCTGTTGTAACGACCGAATTCAACACACTAAAATACAAAGTAAATTTGTGTTTAAGCTTTGCACTAAATAGAGCATGCGTTTCGATATGCACGAATTTTACGCACTTTACGTACACTTCAGTGCTTAGTTTCAGAAAAATTCGTACATTTTAAAACGCATCCTTTGTGCGAAGCTTATGTTACATAGCAATTTAGTGTGAATGATACAGACTGTGGTTATGACTTCACCCTCCCATCGCACCTGCATGTTTGGAGCTGCTTCAGGATTCTTCTGGAGCTGTCTCTTGAAGGCTGTTTTCGGCAGATTGTTGGGGGTACGCCACAAATGGCAGTATGATGACCATGACTGGGGTGTACATAAAGATAAGGCTGTGGCGTCGATGTCCTGCTGGGACGTCGTCCGCGATGATGGATTGGTGGTCCAGGGGCGCCCCGAAAAAAAGTGGAGGGGGGCGAGCCAGTAATTAATGATGCTTCGCGCGCTGAACGTTGCGGTCGCGTTAACAAACTGGGACGCTCTGGCGGTAACGATCCGAGCTGCACTAGCGCGTCACTCCAAATGTCTTACGCAGAAGCAGAAATTTTCCACTATACGGAGAAAATATCGCAAACATGATACTAACTTGGTTTTTCAGCAAGTTTCTCCTAAGCATCGAAAATCTCCCTAAAATTCAAAGTATTTTGAAGACTTTGGGCCTCGTATCAGGCTTGCGCTGAAATCACCGTTACACAGCTCAAATTCCATTGTGAGACATATAGAGGTTCGGGCCTTAAGCATCCCCCAGCGTTCAACTTACTCTAAGTCAAGTTCAGAAGTTGATATCGGCACTGAGAAAACCTTACAAACTATTTCAGGCCTTACAAAGCAAAGCAGTTTGTTAGAACAAAGTATTTTGAGCATTCATAAGCTTACAAAGGAACTACTTCGTAATTTCCGAACTATTTGTTTGTATAAACAAAGTAAATTAGTTTGTACGTATGTATGCTCAAAATACTTCGAGAGGTTTTAAGGGTGGGGCTCGCCTCAGCTTCTGCCCCCGAACAATTACCGTCATTGAAGCACGGCCGGCAGGAGTTGCAGATTTTGACGGGTGCCTTGTATTAACACACACAAGCACACTGGCGCGCGTGCAGATACACGAATACGTGTCACAAACACACGCAGACACACACTCGCACATTTGCACGCGGGCAAACACGAATACGTGTCAAACACACTCACACAGACGCACGCGGACGCAGCAACGCCCAGCCGTGTTGATGACTTGAAAGACAAAGGGCGTCCCGCCGCGCCGCGCTGCCCCTTCGTCCTCTGCGACCTTCACGCTCTCCAGGAGGCGATCTGCGAGCGGATCAGACGTCCGTCTTCTGATTGGGCCATCCGCCCCACGTCGTCCTTCCTTTCCCCCCGGCAGACTGATTCCAAGAGTCGCTCCGTCTCTGTCGTACTCAAGGGGTGCCCCGTGTAGGTGTGAGAGGGACAGAGCGACGAAAACGACTCTCTGAATCAAGTCTGCAGGGTGACCCTTCTGGGACGTGCTGCTGCATCGCTCGTCGTCACGCGAGCGTCGCGCGAGTGGCAACCTGGGCACCTTGGCTCCTCGGTCAGGGCCCCCGCGGTGGCTTGGAGGTGCCGCCAGGGCCAGAGGGCAACCTCTCACAAAATTGTGAACTCTTAATTGATAGAGCTATTGGTGAGCCCTGGCTGGGTGAAATGTTGCTCATTTTTTGATGAGATCTGTTGAAATTAGTCCTTTTGATTGTTCCATTCCATTTCGACGTGTTGATGGATTGTTTTCACAGTGCATGCATTTTGACAAGCACCAATAGGCTGTTTCCCTCCGCCGTTGAAAATTTAAGTGTTTCGAACTCGATTGTAAGTGATGTCCACCCAAACTGTGTACACAAACGTGCTGCCGTGAGGTGAAAAAACGCAATTCCATTTGGCATTTGGCATGGGGACGGTGTGTCTTCCAGTCTGACTTTCGAACAGCAAACGAACTGTGTCCTGTGCCGGTTGTGGCGACCGTCTGTAAGTGCGGGGCTGTCCCAGTGCGCCAGCGAGATGCATATCCCTATCTGTCTGATGTTCTTTGCAAAGCAATTCCCCACTATACTACGTCAAAATGGGCTCCAAGAAACGTTCTGCATAAAAATATCATAACCACTATTCTGTACCTCTGCTTTAGTCTTGCATCCGGATGTGAAAAATTTTACCCGATCCCTACCTGGTTCGAAGATAAATATTTTGTCGCGCTCTCTAACTTACATTGAAATGTAAAAAACCGCACTGGATTCCAGGTTTGAAGGCTGATAAACCTGTCGCTCAAGATGCATTATCCTAAAGTGTGAAAATGTACCAGATCCCTGAGAGTGCACAGTGCCTCGGTTTAGTTTCGCAGGCTGTGCTGCGCGGCGCTGCAGGTGCGGCGGACGCTTTTCGCAGTGTAATCGTAAACTCCACTCGCCCGCACAGGGCCTTTCGGCGAAACGAAACAAGTGAAGGACTTTTATGATTTGGAAGGCCGAAATAAAACGACAAAGAGTAAATTTGTCTGGAAGGCCTGTGAGTACCCCTTCTTGCGCGTCTCGAATTTCCCCTTCCCTCCCCTCCCCTCTCCCCGGACTCTAGATGGGCTGTAAACGAACGGGGCTCTCGGCCCTTGGGAGGAAGTGGTTTCGATGCCGTGAGGTCCCAGACCGGCAGGTCTCCCTCGTGGATGTTATTTCAGACGAAGGGTGAAATTTGGCGAGGAGGACATCACTCTCGTTTCAGGCGTACACAAGATAACGGAATCACGGAAAATTTACTAGTGATAACGCGTAAAATTTTGGAAAATTGGTTCAAAAACGTTGAAAATTAGTTCAAAAAACTTTGTCAGAGATTACGTGATTACGCTTTGCATTACCGGAAATTACCAGCCAATTTGTACACAGGATTATAGGGGTGGTGGCGTGGCCCCTCGAAATTTGGTCCAAATGACGGTGACATTAAATCGGCGCTTGCTGGCTTTGCTGACGGTTCTGAATCTGGTTGCAGACGGCGCTGGCCAACGCGGACGACAGCCCCACCATCCTGACGCAAGTGTGGGTGCGCGACTCACACAAGCAGGTGTGGGCCAAGGCTTTCCTGCTGCTGCGAGACCGCTGCCTCTACATCTCCTACAAGGTGAGTCCCGATAGAAAAGTTCCTCTGTTACAGCGAGAGAATCTGTGTACGCAAATTCGTCTGATTGGGGATCGCTTTACGTTTTGAATTGTAGTTCACTTACTTCCCAACTACCGACGGTTTGACCCCTTACAAAAAAAAAATACGATTTCAAGAAATCCTAGGAGTCACGAAGTCAATTTGATTATTGTGTAAGAGTGTGGAGAAAGAAAAGAAGTGGTGTTGTGAAGTTGTGGCTCAGGGGACTACCAATGGCAGTGGTACCAATGTGGTCGATGTGCCATCCGTCGAAATTTAAACTTGACAGTAAATAGAAATCAAAATGCTGGTAAATTCAAAAAATTCCAATGCTAATGTATTCCGCAGTGTTCTGACAATGGAACATCTTTGAAGTCCATCATGATTAAAATGTTCTTAGCAGAAAGAAGTCAGTAAATTAATTTTCTCGGGTTGGCAACTATTTTCTCGGCGTCTGCGCCCTTGCGAAAATCGCGAAGCTGAAAGCGCCAGCAGTCGCGCATTAAAACTGCCCCTCCATTGTTGTGGACGTTGAATTGTTTGGCTTGTTTCAAAAGGCTATGGTTCTCTAGTCATGTTTTCTTCAATTCTGTGTAATAGTTCTCCCTTACAACGTATCAACACCACGACGGTTGGTTTGACAAACTTCATAAACTCGGGAGGGATGGTTTCGAAACGCGGGTGAGTCTTGTTCGAGGAACATGAGCACTGCAAGTCGCGAGGTGGAGCGAAGTGGTCCTAGTGCTAACTGAATCACAACAACAACACTGCGCATGTCCAAAAACACTCCAATCAAGAAGTATTATTGGATAGTTCTACCCGAAAAACTGCGTTCGAACCGGCACCAATTCTATTGTTGCATCTTGTCTACCTGCAGTCAAAGAAATTTTTCATTTCGAACGTTGCTTTTTCAGCTTTTGGAGTAAGCTGTACAGACCCAAAAAGAAGCTCCGCTATTGGTCCGCCCCGGCTCGGCTCCCCCCACTCCCTTTTTTTTCCTTTGACGAGTCGAGTTTTGCCATGGAAACGGCGATTTTGACAGCAAATTTCTCAAAATTGGCCACCAAATTTTTGACCAGATTTCAACATCAGAATCAGCGTTCAAAGTTCTACTAGTCTGCAAAATCTCATTAAAATCGTATAGAAAACTTCCGAAATGCATAAAGGGCCACACAAATCAAATCTCGAGCCGGCTGAGTCCTGGGTATACTATAAGGCTACTTCGTGCCTAAAAAGCATCGTAACTTGCAAGCAGGGCGCTTGGAAACCATTTCATCTTTTTCGGGTTCTTGGAAACAATCCTAAGTCACATAGCAAACGGGCAGCACCCAGGGCGAGTTAAAATGCACTCTGGGAACCTCACAAAGTAGTTTTAGGCATTACAAAGAAAAACACCTCGTTATAACAAAGTATTTTGAGCATACTTAAGCTTACAAAGAAAACACTTCATTAATTTACGAACTTTTTCTTCGTACAACAGAAAATTAGTTTGAACTGTGTATGCTCAAAATATGTCGTAAGGTTTTAAGCATTTGGTGTCCTAGCACACAGAAAAGAAAGGGTGGCTCTCTTAGGACCTGACGATTTTTCAGCCTTCCCTATGTTTGTTTTCTCGTGTTAGTGATCACGGTTTCACCAGGACGTGTTGACCTTTGAGGTCGCTACACCCCGCGTGTGCGCTAAAACTTTCCGTCCCATTAAAGCCCCTTGACCCCCAGAGTACGTGGATAGCAGAATTGCTCTGCGGGTGTTGCATTCAGAAAGGAAACCGCTGTTTTTAGAAATGCCAATCGCACGAGTCTCGACGCGCGAGGTGAGGTTGCCGTGTGTACACTGGCATTCAACGACTGTGACATCACATGGAAACGAATGCGAGTCGTGTCACGGCCGTTCACATATTTTCGACCACACTCGTTTGAACGCGACTGACGTGCCTGTCGACTCACCATGCAGGGAATGCGGCGCAGTATCCGCTCGATGCACGATTCGCTCATGCACACCTGTGTAAACGTGACGTCACATTCACGCTCAAAACCTTACCAATTATTTTTGGAATTCTAAAACTGGGGGAAAATTGATCACTGAAGGAGCGGGGAAAATCGCACACTCCTGTTCAAGAACAAATTGTCTCATTTTGCCACCAGGAAATACTTCTTGCCTGGTAATTGGTATGCTATATCCTACACTATCGCGTTCAAGTAGGAGTAGGTCTCAAATTTGAGTAATTCAGTCCTTAAATGGGGTTTGCGATTTATTCCCCACCCCCAAGGTGTTCGGTTCTACCCCGCACTGACCCTATTGAGCTTGTTACACGAAGAATTCAATATCAAATTACGGAGTGTATGTTTGTTTAGCTTATATATGCTCAAAATAATTTCCTACGAAAAAAAACCATGTTTTGTAGCGTTTCGAGAATGTTAATCGTGGACGAACTAGTAAACAGCTTTGTGCTGTGGAACTTTAAGCTTGGCCGATTATTTGGACTTGGACTTGCTTCGTGCGCAATACGGATTCGGCGCTGCGGAGAAAGGGGCTTGAACTCGCTGAAGGTCATCGCGGTGCTACCGAGCCTTGTCCACGTGCGGTATTGGTTTCGACGGAATCGCTCCGAGTGGCCTGATCCCTGCCTGGGCCCGGCGGGCCTCGCGGCGGGCGCCATGTGTGCCGAAAATGGAGGCTGGGAGGGATTTGCGATCACGGTCACCTTGTAGTGGAGCATTGACCGTCTGCATAATGCATTGTTTGGATTGTTCTTCTAGGTGCGCGACGCGTATTGCGGGGCGTACTGTGGAGTTCAAGAGCCGAAGGAGTCTCTGCCACGGTTTGACCATTTTTATCCGAGCCGCATTTCTTTCGACGAGAAAAACGACTGAAAACTGTGATGACATCGAAATTCTGTTTCCCACGAATCATGGCTCCTCAGATGCAATTAATTTTGTCGTACGTCTTTTTGCGACAGTGATCGCTTATTTACGCCACAAAAGTCCAAGAAAACAAAACTGCGACGATGAGGATCGAAAATTCGCAACCTGCACACACTGCAAGACAAAACCACAACAAAATCACACAAATTCCTGGCATTTTTTTTTTATCAGGAATTCATTGTACTTTCAAAGTACATCAATTGCTGTACAAAGTACAATGGAACCGGCATGACGAGTGCTGTACAGTCCAGGCCTCGTTTTTTTCACTATTTTCGTCGTGCTTTCTACAGTCCATGTTGTACTTTAATTCTACAGTTTTTGTTGTACTTTTGCCGTGCTATTCACACTTTTTCTTGGCACCTGTATAGTTTTTTTTTTCGCGAAGAAAAGAGAGTTTTCTGACACAGTCCGAAAGCTTGTCGGAGCTTCCGGTTTGTGTGAGTGTGCTTCCAGTGCACTCCGTCCTAATGCGTCTAACGGGCTCGTCCTCCTCCAGTTTCAGGTGCTGGCCAAGTTTCTGCGCGAGAACAGGCGCGTGGACCCGTCGCTGCTGACGTACAGCACCCACAAGGTAAGAAGGGCTTGGGGGTCGTTAAAAGAAGACGGTTTATCGGACGATCGTCGAGATAGCGTTATACTGCCGGAGTGTTTCTGTTCCGCCCCACCGTGAGTGAGGCTCTCTGCAGCGCGCTGCAGGTCGCGGCGAGTAGAATGGCGGGACTCGTTTACTTGGGCCACACTTTGAATGCAATGGGTACACTGTCGCGTGGCGCTGCCGGGCGCTGCCGCGAAGGCGCTCACATGCCGCGCCTCGCGACCTGGGCGAACTGAGGCGCCTAGCGTGGCACTGTACGAAATAGTCGTCACTTTTCTCTTGATTCGGAATTGCCTATTTGGTGTTACGTGCGAGCAGTGCGAAGAACAGGGCCAGAGGGTGTGTGCGTGTGCATGTCCTGGGAAATTGAAAACTCTTTGGTTTGGATTGTCCTCTTAATGTTTTATTTTCCCCTCATGTTTGTTGGAGAACTTTTTGACAAGTTTCTGGATTTGAGTGAAAGTTTCTGTTACGTTTCGTGCTTTTTGAGTCCGACTTTAGTCTGTCAAGTGACCATATCAGTGCCAAGAGTTGTGCGATAAGTGTGACAAGTGCACGTACGTTAACTCTTTATGTACTTTTATTGTCCGTAACTATTCCCATATTTGTGCATGCGGAAGCTATGTTCATAAATTATGAACAATTTTTCCATATTGTGTTTAAGTACTTATCGAATGGAACCCCAGTTGTGTACAAATTTGCACATAACTTACCTATGCACAAATTATGGCAAAAAGTTAGAGCCAAAAAGTACATGGCCATTTTAGCATGTGCTATTGCGTTCTAATAAGCACAATCGCTCTCTCGTTTGGCTCGACGCTGATGGCCAAGTCCCTGGCACAAGCGCCTGGTTCAGCCAAATCTGGTACTTTTTCAGCGTCCAACCAGTTCCCCTTGTCAGTCAAGTGCCCCGTGTCGATAAGGCTATGGGCCATAACGCCAGATGGGGGCGGCCAACTGAAATGGAGGAAATTGCCGACACGGTCCGCAGTGCTTCGCCTGCTCGGCCCGGCTCGGCTTGCTCCGTACACGGGGAATTACGAGACTGACTCACTGACAAGGCAAAACCTTTTACGACCCACCAACGCGGCTGCACACGTGTTCGGCGAGGGCGTATGGGTGTGTGTGCGCGCGCGCGCTCACTCTTCAGATTTGCCTCCCGGTGCGCGTATTCTTTTTGCTTCTATTTTTTTAGCCGAAATATTTTATTTTTTATAGACAGCACTTTTTTTTTTGACTGACGCTTTATAGATCCGCCTTTTAGTGCTCCATATACAGCAACGCTGAGATTCGGTTGCTGCTATCTCGTTATGAAAAGAGGGAGCGGAGAATGGCAAAGCCGCGAGCGAGTGAGCGGCGAGCGGCAAGTCCCTTCTTCCTTCTCCTTTTCGCTTACCCGTGCAAACTCTCGTCCTCCCCCCCCCTCCCCCTTCTCCCCTTCCCTCCTCGTTTCCCCGCGGCCCAGTGATTCACACTGAGCCAAGGTCAAGATCACGGCCACGCGCCTCGACCCGCCGCAACGCCGCGCTGGCCGCGTCGGCCTGCCGGCCCGGAGCCGGGAAGGCGAGGCGGCGTCCCCGAGCCGGTTCGGTTCGCCCAACCAAGTTTGTCGCCAGAACTGCACTAAGTTTGTGCAGCTATGCACACTAAATCTGATGTACAATTTTGTACGAGACATCACAGCTTTTTGTAGACACGAAATTTTCGTACAATTTTCATACGAAAAACTGCACATCTTTCGCCATTTTTGTACAAAACTGTACAAAATTTTGTACAAATTTGTACGAAAAGTTCGTGGGCACAAAAAATGGTGATGTCTCGTGCAAAATTTGTACAAAATTTGTGTGGGGGCAATAACGGCATGAGAAAAAAGACGCGCCGAGAATCGGCCTGACGTAAAAGTGACGCCATAAATGGAACTGACAAAAAGAACTTTAGAAAAATATCGTCAATTTCCAAGATTTATTATGTTCATAGCTATTTTTGGGTTTGCAGCAAGTTTAGTTCAGATATTATCTTTCTGAAGAACGAAGCTTCCGGATGGTTCCGTCAGACGAAGCTGTAAAAAAAACTTTCCGGGATTTTCATTTATTTTGTTTTTACAGTGTTCACACACTGACGCATCCAGAATGCACCGGGCCCTGGCGCGTGGGCGTCGCTGCACCTTTTATTTTTCCGCTGAGACTGCAATGCGCGCCAATGCATCCGAGGCGGCAGTTCGTGACGCACGTCTCGATTTGAATCGGCAGAAACTGGACCGAAGAGGGCCAAGGCAGCAGGCTGAGCAGAACCCGACCAGCGTTTTTGTCGCTGTCTCTCTTCCACTCTCGTTGGGGGCCTTGGAGGGGCGCGACAGAGGCAGACATTCGACGAAACCAGATCAAGCACTGTTCGGAATTGAGTCTGCCGCACGCGCACCGTGTGCACATGGCTGGGTCTCTCTCTCTCTCTCTCTGTCTCTCTGTCTCTCTCTCTCTCTTTGTCTCTTTCTTTCTCTCATCTCTCTCTCTCTTCCCTCTTCTCTTCCCTCTTCTCTTCCCTCTTCTCTCCTCTCTTCTCTCTCTCTCTTCTCTCTCTCCTCTCTTATCTCTCTCTTCTCTCTCTCTTCTCTCTCTCCTCTCTCTCTCTCTCTCGTGCGCATGCGCGCATGGGACATTGGTCATTTTTGGCGCGAGAAGTGGTTAGGCCCGACGATTTGCATCAAATGAGCGCGCTGATCTCATCTTTATGCTAATGGGCTGCCACGGCTGCCATGGCTGCCACGCGGCCCCAAAAGGCCCTTGCCGGCTTGCTGTGGCGCCACGGGCCATTTCCGCGGCCGAGGTCGTGTGCCCCCGGCGCACAGTGGGCCAGAAGACCGGCGCAGACGGCCAAAACTAGACGCGCTTTGAGCTCCAGAGTCGCTAAAAGGGACTCGAATCGAACGTGTGACCCAACCAGAGATTGCCCTCCGAATAGTGAATCCATTAGGTACACTTCGCACTCGATTAAACGCGAATATTGTAACATTCGTTGAATTCTAAGCCACATTTGTTTCAAATGTAAATCGGCTTCATAGGGCCCAATTGGGCCCCGATTCACGAGATGAATGAAACAAAGTATTCAGGTGGAACAAGTGTATACTTCCACACAGTAAATTGAAATGGCAGAATCCGTAATGGTTCGGCACAGAAACCGCCAGTAAATGATTCTGAATTTGGTAGTCACAGAAACTGACAAAGGCTCCACAGAAACTGGGATGGGCTCACAGAAACTGCTAAGGGGTTGCGGTCTTGCTGGCCAACCTAACCTCACTGTGTCTCTGGATGCTTTTGTTGTTTTGGACATTATGTACATATTTTGAAGAGTGCGCATACTTTTTCTTGCTTTGACAAGTCTCTAAATTAATATTTTCCTTACGCGGTACATCTACACTCTTTATTTCCGATAATATAACATCTCAAAGTCGCGAGGTGGAGGGAATCGCAATTGACGATTGCGGTGCAGTGTTGTCCGGATTCCGTGGCGAGTGCACGGATTCCGTCGGCTGTGTGCAGAATGGGTTTGCCGTTGGTGGTTTTGGAGCAAAACCGCCCCGGATTTACCTGTCGGTTTCTGCGATTTGGGGCTCTCAGACCACTACAGATTCTGCCATTTCAATTTACTGTGCAAGAAGGCACTCACAAGTATGTTCTAGTTACCGTGCTTACGTGTAAACTTCCAAGCAGGCACCTACTAGTGTAAACTTTCAAGGAGGCTCTCGGGTGTACTGACAGTCTGTCGAGTACAGACTAGTGTTGGCCGTTCTCACTCGTATGTCCTTGACTTGCTTTCGGTGGACACTGCCCGCCTCCGGCTGTCGCCCAACGTCCACATGATTTATGGGTGAAGTCGGACAGTGGTGTGGCTCTGCCAGCTCTGCTCGGCGCGGCCCCACGCCGCCCGGCGGGTAGGCACTCCCAACGCAGGCGTGCGTCACGGGGTTCTGGCTGACGCACAGTGGGCCAAGACCGGTGGAAGCGGTCAAAATCCCGAACGTGTTTTGTGCTCAAGAGTCGCTAAATGGGACTCGAAGCAAACGTGTGACCGCACCAATGGATTGCTCTCTGAACGAGGAACCCAGTGGTGGGGTCACACGCTCGGTTTGAGTCCTGTTTAGGGACTCTGGAGCTCAAAACGTTTGGCGAAAAGTATTGGCCGCCTTCACCGGTCCTCTGGCCCACTGTGCCGCTTGGTGGTACACCGTTTGGGCGAACACCTTTCGATTAATTTTCTTCCTTGTCTTTCTCGAGTGTGCCATGTGTCGGGTCATTGCCAGCGGTCATCTCATCATCCGTCCGTCCATCCATCTATCCATCCATCGCGATTGCGGGCGTCGCACAGCACGGGGTGCAATTTGCGTAGAGTGATGCCGTGGCCGCCGTCCCCTCCCCTGCCCGTCCTCCCTTCCCCCTCCCTCTCCACTTCCCCTCCAACCCACTCTGCCTATAATTGGCATCCCCCCTCCCTTGAATTGATTTCGGTTATGAGGTCTGCCGGCTACTTTGTTCGGTGGGAGTCGCCCCACTGCCAGGCCGCCAGGCCGGCAGGGCAGTCAAGGTGACGGCGTCACGGTGTGGTGGTCGCTGGTCGACGACTCGTCTGAGAAATTGGGATCATCAGTCGGCGTGCATCACCGCGCGTTACGTCATCGGTTTCTGTACACAGTGGATTTGCCTGAAGACCGGCGGAGGCGGTCGAAATCCCGGACGCGTTTTGAGCTCCAGAGTCGCTGAATGGGACTCGATCGAACGTGTGACCCCACCAATGGGTTGCTCCCGGAACGAGGAATCCATTGGTGGGATCACAGGCTCGGTTCGAGTCCTGTTCAGCGACCCTGGAGCTCAAAACGCGCCTGAGCTTCGGCCTGTCTGTTCGTCGTCCATCATACGTTACGTCATCAGTTTCTGTAAACTTTTAAAGTACTATGCAATCTGGGTGTGCAGAAGGAGTTTGAG